CACTGATTTAGACTTGAGACGCTTCACCGGGTTTAAGCTCGCTGATCCGGAATTTTTCATTTCAAAGAAAATCGACCTCATTCTGGGTGCCGATGTTTATGGGCAGTTGCTCCGACCGGGCTTGGAAAGATTGGTTCCTTCACGGATCGTCATGCAAAATACGGCATTTGGATGGATTGTCTCGGGTGGGTTGCATGAGGAGCGCTCACGGCGGGCGGAGCAAGCTGACTCTCGAGTGTATGTACAGGCGCTGCACTGCGCTGCGTCGGATGAGTTGGAACGGTCACTAAAGCGATTTTGGGAGCTCGAGGACTTACCGGTGACGCAGGTTAAAATGAAGCTCGAGGACGAGGCTTGCGAGAAAATATTCAAAGAGACGCATGGGCGCGACGCGGATGGAAGATATGTCGTGCGGCTGCCATGGAAGGCAGATTTACCGTCTGGAGCGGCTGAAACAAGGCGGATGGCCGTTGGCTCCCTTTCTTCCATGTACCGTCGGTTTGCGCGCGATCCCCAATTGGCGCATAGTTATCAACAATTCATGACGGATTATGAGCGACTGGGCCATATGACACGGGTTCCGGACTCTGAGGTGCGCGAGGATAAAGCGTGGTATTTGCCTCACCATGCCGTGGTGCAGTCAACGACGGCTGATTGGAAGCTGAGGGTAGTCTTCGACGCATCGCGGCGAACTCGGGATGGCCTTTGCCTTAACGGATTTCTGCACACGGGTGCTCCACTCCAACGAGACCTCTCGCTAGTTTTACTCAATTGGCGGCGTTATTTGTACGTGTTTACCGCGGATATAGTTAAAATGTTTCGACAGATCCGCGTGAAGCCGGAGGACCAGGATCGACAGAGAATTGTGTGGGCGCCTAACCCGGACTCTGTCCCACGAGATTACCGCTTAACTACGGTCACGTACGGCACGGCATGCGCGCCCTTTTTGGCGATACGAACTCTGTTACAATTGACCGAGGATGAGGGCTCGCGGTTTCCGCTGGGAGCGGCATGTCTCAGCACTGAAACATACGTCGACGACACGTTCGCCGGGGCCGATGAACTGACGGACGCGCTGCAAAAAAGGAACGAGCTCGTTAAGCTGCTGGGTTGCGCCGGGATATCACTAGATAAATGGGCCGCAAATCACCCAGAGCTTATCCCTCCTCGACTAGCGCAGGAGGACGTAAAACAAATCGACGAGGACCAGTCAGTAAAAACACTCGGCGTGCATTGGAGTCCTGCTCACGATCAATTTAGATTTAGTTGTAGAGACGTCGCAGAATTGTCAGCTGCCTCCACGAAGCGGACGGTTCTCTCAAACATTGCTCGACTATTCGATCCGCTTGGCTGGCTGTCCCCGGTGACAGTAGGAGCGAAAATCTTAATGCAGGATCTGTGGATTCAAAAATGCGATTGGGATTCTCCTCTACCGGCGGAGATTCGCGAGCGTTGGTACGAATACTGCAAGTCATTGGCCAATCTGCCGTCGCTGGCAGTCGACAGATGGTTGGGCGTTGCAGGTAATTGCTCATTACAAATTCACGGATTCTCTGACGCGTCATCGCGGGCCTTCGCGGCCGCCGTATATCTGCGCGTGGATGGAGGGGACCGACATATTAAGGTGTCACTGTTAGCCGCAAAGACGAAGGTCGCTCCGGTAAAGACCGTCAGTATACCGAACTTAGAGCTTTGCGGCGCCGCTCTGCTTGTTAGGTTGATTGGCCACTTGATGAAACTGGACTTTCTTAAAACAGCTCCGGTCTTCGCTTGGTCCGACAGCCAGATTGTGCTTATGTGGCTGCGCAGGCACCCCTGTTCTTGGAAAACCTTTGTTGCAAATAGGGTGTCGTTCATCCAGACGGAGTTGCCCTCTGCAACTTGGAGGCACGTGCCGACAAAGGAAAATCCGGCTGACTTGGCGACACGAGGAGCCGATCCTATAGAGTTGGCGGAGAATGGGCAGTGGTGGCACGGGCCTCGATGGCTCGCTGAGGCTCCGGAGCAGTGGCCGGAGGCAGCGGAAAGTCGCCGAGTCGCTCACGTTCGTCAGTTGCCGTCCGAGTCGGATTTGTTGACGAGATTTTCTTCGCTGACCCGTTTAATTCGCGTAGTCGCATACTGCAGGCGTCCAATGCTCATACTGCGTGGGCGTAAAAAGAAGATGGAGCCATTCCCACCGTTTCTTACGGCATCCGAGTTGGCGGATTCGCGTAAAAGTGTCATCAAACTATCACAGGATAGTAGCTTCGCCGGTGAGTTAAAATTGCTGAGAGAGGGCAAGAGCTTGCCGAAACGCGGTCGACTTAGTAAGCTTAACCCTTTTCTTGACAGAGATGGTATTTTGCGCGTGGGAGGGCGACTGGAACATTCGACTCTTTCTTTCGAGAGCAAGCACCCGTCGATTTTGGCGCAAAACTCCAATCTCAGCCTTTTATTTACGCGTTATGCTCATCAACATTGCCTGCATGGTGGCCCCACCTTGACTTCCAGCCTGTTAATGCAGCACGTTTGGATCTTGGGTAGAAATAAGTTGGTAAAGACGGTAGTCCGTAAATGTCTGATCTGTCAGCGCGTCAAACCACAGTCGACCCAGCAATTAATGGGGGAGCTTCCAGCAGATCGAGTCACCGCGGGCAGGCCGTTTTTAGTGACAGGATTGGATTACGCGGGTCCGATTCAAGTACGTGCCACAAAGGGCCGCGGGCACAAGTCATATAAGGGGTACATTGTCGTTTTTGTGTGCTTTTCTACGCGGGCCATACATCTCGAGCTTGTCAGCGATCTTACATCGGCTTCCTTCCTCAGCGCTTATCGTCGGTTTGTGGGTAGGCGTGGAGTCTGCCGAAAGCTCTACAGCGACAACGCAACTAATTTTCATGGAGCAGACACAGAGCTAGCATCAATGTTTCAGCGCGCGTCTGAATTTTATAACAAACTCGCCCCTGTTCTCGCGAACGATGGGACGGACTGGAATTTCATACCCCCGAGCGCCCCACATTACGGCGGGTTGTGGGAAGCAGGAGTTAAATCGGTAAAACATCACCTAAAAAGGGTGGTGGGCGAGCACATGCTCACCTTTGAGGAGCTGTCGACGGTCCTGGTGGAGATTGAGGCGTGTCTCAATTCACGGCCGTTGGGAGCTTTGAGCGCGGACGTGGACGACTTGCAGGCGCTGACCCCCTCTCATTTTTTGCATGGGTGTGCTTCGACCCTGCTTCCTGATGCCAATCTGACGGATGTCCCGCAGAATCGACTGGACCGCTATCAATTGCTCCAGAGGATCCGAAACTTGTTTTGGAAGCGTTGGTCGTCCGAATACCTGCTTCATTTGCAACAGCGAGAGAAATGGAGAGAGCCGACGGAAAACTTCTGTGTAGGAAGGCTGGTTCTCGTGAAAGACGATCGTTACCCCCCGTCAAAATGGCCCTTAGGCAGAGTAACTGACGTCCACCCGGGCCCGGACGGTCTCGTGAGAGTGGTCACGGTGAAGACGGCCACGACGTCGCTTCGTCGTCATGTGGCTCGTGTGTGCCCGTTGTATATGGAGAAAGATACCACGACAATGTAGATTTGTTGTCGAGTGTTGGTTCGTCCGCCGGACGAAGGCGGGCGGGATGTTCGGGCGTTTTGTGACCCGCGTGCTCTGCGTCTTAATTTACCGAAGCAATTAGTGCGCTATCCTTCTCTCTCCCTTGACGCGCCGTCACTTTTTTTTGAGAGCTGAGTTTTCGCTGCGCCACCTGTTTTTCTCTATGGCGCAACAGGCCGCGCGGGCCTTGATTATTAGCGTCTCAACTGCGGGAGAGGCATTTTCGGCGTCCCGCGTGTTGTATTGTAAGCGAGCGTGCGACTAATTAATCGGATAACCAACAAATGTATACGAGTGCCCAGGCGCTGGGATAGAATAGTAGTGTGAGTGAAGCGTGTGTGGTTTTGGTGTTACTCGGTGGGAGAAGGTGTCCACGGGTAATCGTGATCTTCTACGGCGAGCGCAGTGCGGCAACAGAGTGTTGCCCGTCGTCCAAGCGTTTGGCAGCTCGAGACGTCGGGACGCGCTTGGACAGCCAGCTCTCGAATCTCCTGTGCGCTCCCGAGCCCCCTGAGGCACTTCCTCGACACCCATCCTCTGCGGTGCGGTGTTGGAGTATTTATTGTACGGACGGCGCAACTGAGGTAAGAGAGCTCTCTTTAGGTACTAAAGGATCCTCGCGAATCGTGTAGCGCGTTATCTTGTCACGTTGCGAGCGAAGCGTGTAAGGCGTAGCATTATGGTTACTTATTTCTCACAATTATAATTGTTCTGTACCTTTTATTGATTGATTATATAAAAATATTACACTTACCCCGGCTTTCTCTCAATCCGCGAGAGTTTTATGCCTAGGTAAGTAGTGTCATTCCGCGAATAATTGTTGTTTTTATTTATAAAAGAACCCACTCTCACTCATGTACCCTACATTTTATCACCCTGAATATTATAAATCGGCTGCATATGTTCGCGTTGTCTCAAAGGAGAGTTGACCTTGTTCATGGTGCCCCGGGTGAGGAGTGAGTGCGAGGTTCTTTAGTAGCGTACTTTAGTTAGTTTGCGCATTTCATTGTAATCCATATATTTCGGTATGTAAAAAGGGCGTTTGCATTGCAACGGCTTGTTCTTAGAATTACAAAGGAGATTTTGCTTGGAGAATCTTCGAGAAGCTTCCAAATTTAGACTTGACTTGTTTTGGTTTATGGAACTCGGGTCAAGTAGTATCATAGGCTGAGTTGCAGTGCGAACGCGCTGTATTGCGGCACGGCTTGTGTTTATATTGCAGTTGTGAAGGTCAACGGGCCTTGCGCGCGCGTGTCTGCTCGTCGTCGGTCATCGCCATTCACTCGGCAACGAACTTTCTTAATAAGACGTGTCTTACCCTGTCGTCCTTTTCGTTCTCGATTCTCGTGTTATTGAGATACTTTATTGTGCGCGAGTAAATTCATCTGAGGTCGGAATAGCGTGCACAATGGCACCCGTAGCTCTAAGAAAGCTGACGTCGATGCAGGCGGCCCGCGAGGCTGAAATAAAAAGCATCCACGAGCGATTGATCTCGAAGCCACGTGAGTCACTTACGAGAGACATTGTGAAGGCCCGACTCGATGCCATCAAGGAGGTATGGACTGAGGCGCGAAAAACCAACGCGGATATAGTCATTCGAGACGATGTTGAGGCGGATGCGTACATCACGGATAAATGGTTCGAGCGTATGCAGGGCGTGTATGAGGGTGCTTTGGACGAGATGCTTATGATGCTTGCCCCTTTCGAAAAGGACGCTGATAGCAGCATTTCAGATGCGGGCTCTGAGTCGCGTGTCGCGAGGCTGCCTCGACTCCCGCTGCCTACCTTTTCGGGCGCATACGAAGAATGGGCGATCTTCTGCGATTTATTTGCTTCACTGGTGCATAATAACTCTCGCTTATCAGACGCCACGAAGCTTCAACACTTGAACTTGTGCTTGATGGGCGGGGCCGCGGAACTCATCAGGGACGTGTCGACAACGAACGCGAATTACGTGGGTACATGGAAAGCGTTGAGGACTCGGTACAATAACCCGCGCTTAATAGTCAACAAGCTACTAAGGTCATTCATAGAGATTTCGAGCATGAGAGTAGAGTCGGCGACTGCCATGCGAGCGTTCGTGGATGAATCGCAGCGTATTGTTCGGGCTTTGGAAAACTTGCAATTGCCAGTCGGGCACTGGGACGTGTGGCTAGTATTTTTGCTGGCTGATCGGTTGGATGCGGAGTCACGAAAATTGTGGGAGGCCGAGCTCAGCGCTAGAGATTTGGAGAATAGCGCAGACGGGAGCCCTGACGGGCCGGATTCCCTTAATTCTCAGCCAAAGTATTCTGATTTAGTTCGATTTTTGGAAAAGAGAGCCCAGGCTCTTGGCATGATTTCGACGGATAGAAAGGCGGAAAAGAGACCGGTGTCTGGCTCAGCACTGGCGCAGGCTCGGAAAGTTTTTCACGCAGGCGCGACTCAGCAATCTGCTTCTTCGAGGTACCTCTTGTGTTCGGGAGCGCACCCACTGTGGAAGTGCACTAAAATAAAGGAGAAGGCTCCGCATGACCGATACTCGACGGCGCGTCGGCTACAGGCCTGCTTTAATTGCCTCAGATCGCATAAGGCTAACGCGTGCCCTTCTTCGGGGCGTTGTACCAGTTGCGGAGGCAAGCACCACTCGATGCTTCACCTCAAGCCTCCAGGAAAATCTGAACGGCAGAACTCGAGTGGTTCACAGCAGCAGGGATCGGGTGGCGGTCAGGGCGTGGGGTCCAGGGTCGGCGCGGCTGCTGTAGCGTTGCATGCGTCCGCGATTGCGACGTTGAGTCGCGGAGTCCTTTTGGCTACTGCTCGAGTGACGGTGGTGGGTCCAGCTGGAGATAGCACCGTCGTTTGCGCCCTTTTGGATCAGGGCTCCGAGGCGTCCTTCGTATCAGAGTCGGTCGTGCAGTTGTTAGGCCTTTCGAAGGAGCGTGTTTGTGTCGCTTTGAGCGGCCTGGGCACCAGTTCGGTGGGTATTGCGCGTGTGAGCATGGAACTTGTTTTGAAATCATCGACCGATGAGGGCTTCGCGATTCGGACAAGCGCGTTTGTCCTCCCTCGTCTCACTACGCAGCTCCCGGCAAAGAATATCACTGATTTAGACTTGAGACGCTTCACCGGGTTTAAGCTCGCTGATCCGGAATTTTTCATTTCAAAGAAAATCGACCTCATTCTGGGTGCCGATGTTTATGGGCAGTTGCTCCGACCGGGCTTGGAAAGATTGGTTCCTTCACGGATCGTCATGCAAAATACGGCATTTGGATGGATTGTCTCGGGTGGGTTGCATGAGGAGCGCTCACGGCGGGCGGAGCAAGCTGACTCTCGAGTGTATGTACAGGCGCTGCACTGCGCTGCGTCGGATGAGTTGGAACGGTCACTAAAGCGATTTTGGGAGCTCGAGGACTTACCGGTGACGCAGGTTAAAATGAAGCTCGAGGACGAGGCTTGCGAGAAAATATTCAAAGAGACGCATGGGCGCGACGCGGATGGAAGATATGTCGTGCGGCTGCCATGGAAGGCAGATTTACCGTCTGGAGCGGCTGAAACAAGGCGGATGGCCGTTGGCTCCCTTTCTTCCATGTACCGTCGGTTTGCGCGCGATCCCCAATTGGCGCATAGTTATCAACAATTCATGACGGATTATGAGCGACTGGGCCATATGACACGGGTTCCGGACTCTGAGGTGCGCGAGGATAAAGCGTGGTATTTGCCTCACCATGCCGTGGTGCAGTCAACGACGGCTGATTGGAAGCTGAGGGTAGTCTTCGACGCATCGCGGCGAACTCGGGATGGCCTTTGCCTTAACGGATTTCTGCACACGGGTGCTCCACTCCAACGAGACCTCTCGCTAGTTTTACTCAATTGGCGGCGTTATTTGTACGTGTTTACCGCGGATATAGTTAAAATGTTTCGACAGATCCGCGTGAAGCCGGAGGACCAGGATCGACAGAGAATTGTGTGGGCGCCTAACCCGGACTCTGTCCCACGAGATTACCGCTTAACTACGGTCACGTACGGCACGGCATGCGCGCCCTTTTTGGCGATACGAACTCTGTTACAATTGACCGAGGATGAGGGCTCGCGGTTTCCGCTGGGAGCGGCATGTCTCAGCACTGAAACATACGTCGACGACACGTTCGCCGGGGCCGATGAACTGACGGACGCGCTGCAAAAAAGGAACGAGCTCGTTAAGCTGCTGGGTTGCGCCGGGATATCACTAGATAAATGGGCCGCAAATCACCCAGAGCTTATCCCTCCTCGACTAGCGCAGGAGGACGTAAAACAAATCGACGAGGACCAGTCAGTAAAAACACTCGGCGTGCATTGGAGTCCTGCTCACGATCAATTTAGATTTAGTTGTAGAGACGTCGCAGAATTGTCAGCTGCCTCCACGAAGCGGACGGTTCTCTCAAACATTGCTCGACTATTCGATCCGCTTGGCTGGCTGTCCCCGGTGACAGTAGGAGCGAAAATCTTAATGCAGGATCTGTGGATTCAAAAATGCGATTGGGATTCTCCTCTACCGGCGGAGATTCGCGAGCGTTGGTACGAATACTGCAAGTCATTGGCCAATCTGCCGTCGCTGGCAGTCGACAGATGGTTGGGCGTTGCAGGTAATTGCTCATTACAAATTCACGGATTCTCTGACGCGTCATCGCGGGCCTTCGCGGCCGCCGTATATCTGCGCGTGGATGGAGGGGACCGACATATTAAGGTGTCACTGTTAGCCGCAAAGACGAAGGTCGCTCCGGTAAAGACCGTCAGTATACCGAACTTAGAGCTTTGCGGCGCCGCTCTGCTTGTTAGGTTGATTGGCCACTTGATGAAACTGGACTTTCTTAAAACAGCTCCGGTCTTCGCTTGGTCCGACAGCCAGATTGTGCTTATGTGGCTGCGCAGGCACCCCTGTTCTTGGAAAACCTTTGTTGCAAATAGGGTGTCGTTCATCCAGACGGAGTTGCCCTCTGCAACTTGGAGGCACGTGCCGACAAAGGAAAATCCGGCTGACTTGGCGACACGAGGAGCCGATCCTATAGAGTTGGCGGAGAATGGGCAGTGGTGGCACGGGCCTCGATGGCTCGCTGAGGCTCCGGAGCAGTGGCCGGAGGCAGCGGAAAGTCGCCGAGTCGCTCACGTTCGTCAGTTGCCGTCCGAGTCGGATTTGTTGACGAGATTTTCTTCGCTGACCCGTTTAATTCGCGTAGTCGCATACTGCAGGCGTCCAATGCTCATACTGCGTGGGCGTAAAAAGAAGATGGAGCCATTCCCACCGTTTCTTACGGCATC